GCTCAAGTGGTCCTCCTGCCTCAGCCTCCCAAGTAGCTGGGACTACAGCTGGTGCCACCCCACCCAGCTAATATTTAAAATTTTTTATAGAGATGGGGGTCTCACTATCGCCCAGGCTGGTCTTGAACTCCTGGCCTCAAGCAATCCTTCTGCCTTGGCTTCCCAAAGTGCCAGGATTACAGGTGTGAGACACTACGTCTGACCAGAAATTACGGATGTTTTTGTGTCATGTTTATAGTTGTTGCAGATAGCTCAAAATATCACATGTGCTTGTCACTTCTTTGAATTTATGGTGTTACTGGACATGCTGTTAGATCTTGTTATTTAATAATAAAGCTGCATGTATATTACCATATCTGCTTTTTTTATTGTTTGCTAGTACGTAATGGATTTCTTTTGTAATCACGTGTATTTAATTATGGCTTTAGAAGCAATCTGAGAAGGAGACCATAGGCTTCACTAGACTGTCAAAGAGGTATATGGAACAAAAAGATTAAGAACTCCTACGATAGAAATGTCTTTTGGGATCTATAAGTCTGTGTGGAAGAATATGTGAATCATAAGGTAAGAAAGAAGACAAGGCAGACAGGATGATGGTGTAGGTGAAAGAGAATTTTATAATCAGGCAGATAAAAGATTTGGATGGGATCAGGGAAGTAGGTTTGAACAATAGAATAGACCACAGATATTTAATTCACCATACAGGAATCAACAAAATAATCTGAGGAAGAAAAGGAAGTGAATATTTTGGCCTTTAGATTTATGTATTAAGGCACCTCCCTAGTTCCAAGTGATTGATGCTCTTTGTAAGCCCATGAAAAGAAATTTTAGTGTTTGCTGGTTTTCTTTAAATGGTTTGGTTTTAAGCAGAGCTATCCTAATTTTCCTCTTTAAGTGAAAAACACCAGACTCTCTCTTTAAATATATTTTCCTATTATCCTTTTACATATATGATAGAAAGTAAACATACAGATTATAGAGTTGGAGAGTTGGCAAGTCATTTTCTTGAAAATCCATTTCAAATTCTTATAGTTCAGTTTCATTTTGGCATTAGTCTTCTCACTGACAAATCACTGAACATTTTTTTCAGAATATGTGTAGCTTGAAATTTGCACCTGTTTGTAAAGGACCTGTCAACATGTTGTGTGAGATTTTTTTCCCCCCGCCACTGAAATAATAGCAATAGGCTGGGTGTGGTGGCTCACACTCTCCTGCCCCTTTATTTTCTTTATAGCATGTTTCTACTGGTGTTATGTTACTTGTATGTATATTTATTGTTTTAGTCTTTTTGTTTCCTACTTGAATGTCAGCTCCATGACAATAGGGACTCTTTACCACTACAGCAGAATAGGGGCAGGCACATAATAGGTGCTCAGTAAATACTTGCTGAATTAATAAATGA